ACACACACACACAGACACACACAGTCTCGGACGTCCCTTCACCGGAACACTCGGCCCCGCCCCTTTGCGGTTTTGATCTGGCGTCACGGCGGACTGGTTGTCATGGTAACCCTCCGTACAGCAGGGCGGCTCGCGCTCATAAAAGCCTCGTCGGAGTCCTGTCGTCATTCAGATCTGCGCGAGACGCCACGATGTCCGGACTGCAGGTGAGTGAGGAGACTGTTAGCTTTTAGCATGTTAGCATGTGGTCCGATCAGGGATTGATCAGTGATCAGATGAGGTAGCGGTTGGGGGAGTTCAGGGAACCTACGTTCAGCTGGTTCTGTTTGTTCCACTTTGTTTGGATTTAACTTGGACCCGGTTCTGAAAGCAGCCGTCCGAGTCGATGTACTCAGATGTCGGACTGTTCGGAGGTCAGTGAATGTCTCCCTGGCCGGCGGTGAGAACACCCAGCTGTTCCGCACCTGTTCCCTGCAGATGTTGCTCCACATCGTACTCGTAGTCTTTAACGCGAGAACACACTGCGGCTGCGCGGACAGTTGGCCTCCAGCTGGGTCAGTGTTATCCTGTGGTTTTCTTGGTTTTCTTGGTTTTCTTGCACGAGATGTAACTGTGCAGAGGATTGTGGGCCAGAACAGCAGAACGTAACAGGACCCAGTAGAACATCCAGGTATTGGGAACCATCCTGCCAGGTTCCACTGGTCAGGACCGGTTCTACAGAGCCTCTGTGGCCCGGTCCGGTCCGTCAGAGTGCAGAGGAACAAACAGAACCAGCTGTTTCTACAGCAGCAGATCCAAGTCTGGGTTTGCTGTGGACCTGGACTCAGGTGTGTGAAGAGGGGGCGGGGCTTCCTCAGGTATGCAGGTGACAGGTCACTGCAGTGCTTACGAGTTGCTAGGAGACAAACACAGAGAGCTTTGTGTGTCTGATCCTGAAGATTGTGTGTTTCCAGGTGAGCTTTGTGTGTCTGCTGTTGAAGATGATGTTTGACCTGAACGCTGCGTTGACGTGTCTACCGTGTGAACAAGGTGTGTGTCTGTCCNCAGACATACAGACATACAGACAGGTGTCCAGACAGGTAAACACACCTGGTGAGACACGTTGTCTTGGTTCATGCGGTGCAGGATCTCACTGCAGCTCTCTGAAGCTCCACTGGAGATTGGCAGAAGGCGCGATGCTGCTGCCTGGACTCTGGTCCTCTTCCTCGGCCGGTTTGCTCCTGGGTCAGAAGTCACATTCTGGTCCTCGCCAGGATTGGAGGTCGACGGGTGTTTGGACCCGCCGTCAGAACTCCCTGTCTGCTCTGTGTTGGACATGTCTCCTGATGGTTCAGGGGGCGTGTCCTCCAACTTGCGCGTGGAGTCGGAGGCAGCATCGTTCATCAGGCCGGAGCTCATCTCTGGCGCCGAGTCTTTGGACGGGTCAATGGCAAGCTTCTTCCGACAGGACACTTGATGTTTCCAGAGGTCGGCGCGAAGGAAGAACCCAAGACACAGCGGGCACGGCAGGTAGTTCCTCGCATCAACGTCCTCAGAGGGCTGACGCCATGGAACGATCTCCCCGCTACCCTGTCTGATCACCTGAGGGACAGACAGAGAGACAGGTGGACAGACATGTGAAAAGGTGAACAGACAGGTGAACAGAACTCACACGTGAACAGGTGAGCTGACCTCAATGTTGTGCAGGTAGTTGCCCCTGCAGCGCAGGTGTTCCAGCAGCAGGTGCCGCTGTTTGGATCCAGTCGGCAGAGCACTGGCAGCGACCACTTCCTGTTCGTCGGCGTGCTTCCTCAGCAGGTGGCGAGCAATCTTCACCTGCGGCCGGCGGCAAAACACGCAGTAGTGTTTCTTATCCCAGCGCCGCTTGCCGCCACTCCACGTCCTCTTCACCGTCACACCTTCCTTCTTCTCCTCCTGGCCCCGCCTCTTCTGCTTCTGACCGCGGCGCTTCTCAGTGAGGCCCCGCCTCTTCTCCACCGGGCCCCGCCTCTTCCCTCTCTGACTTCGCCGCCCCAGGGCCCGGCGGCGGGGCTGCCGGGCGGCGGGCTTCATCAGCTCTTTGTCGGGAGGAGCCGTCTGGTCCGAGACCTGGACCTCTGTCTTGTTCGCCATGGCAACGTCAGCGTGGTCCTCCATGGTAACTGCGATCTCCATGACGACCTGATGGTCAGACAGACTGACAACCATCAGTGTGGCACTTTCAGGAGAAATGTAATACTTGCTATCGATTTAATGTCTCAGACCCACACCAAACTCCAGAGAGTGTAAAGGCTCTCCACCTGCACAGGTGAACCTCAAACCTCGACTTAAACTTGTCATGAACCAGCGTCAAGGTCCAGACTGGACATCAAACTACACGGTCTGAACCTCAGGATTCTCCTGGACCGATCACAG